TCTCCTCTCCTCCTGATAACTAACCATGGGCCCTTCCCACTCAAAATTAGACTCTTCAACTCCTCTTGTTTGCCTTCTCAAATCTCATCCCCTCCTCAGACTCGGGGATGCCACTAAGCATTACTGTCTTATTTTCAACTCCCATATAGCTTGGCGTCAATACAAGCTTGACAATCAGTCTCAATGGCCAAAACATGGCACATTCTTCTTCCAGATTTTCACTGATCTTGACAAATTCTGCCATCACAATGGCAAGTGGTTTGAAATTCCTTATGTTCAAGCCTTTACTCTCTGATATAATCTCTCTCTGTTTCTCCTGTCCTACTCATCAGATTCTCTTGGCAGAAGTCAAACCTCCTCCCAAAGATGACCAGGACCCAGAACCCTTGGCTTTTGACTTAGATATACAGGACATAGCTGCCCCACTGGCACCTTCTCTGTCTGACCCTACCGCACCATCCCAGTCTTGCCCATATGAGCCCTTTTATCCAGCTCAACATCCTTACCCAAAGTCAACCTTACCCTCTCTTTTTTCATCATCCACCCCAAGGCTCATACTTGCTTCTGTGTAGATGGTCTTTATGCCCCTAGGGAAACGGAAGGCTCTAATAGCATATTCTATATACATGTCCCCCTTTTTATGGCTCTCTCAGATAGAAAACTGCTTCAGTTCCTTCTCCAATGAGCCTTCTAACTTCATCAAAGCATTAAGGTAGCTCACTCAGACCTATACCCTCACCTGTTATGGTCTCTATGTGTCATTCTCTCTATTACTTTCTTTATATATATATGTATATATATATTATTTAACTTTTTACACATATTACTCTGTTCCCTTTCCCTTTTCTCCTCTCAATCCCACTCCATCCCCCCTTCGCTACCCATGGAGGGCAAGGGCTTCCATGAAGGATTTTCTGTCCTATCATCCTGGGCAGGGCCTAGACCCTCCCCCATGTGTCCAGGCTGAGAGAGCATCCCTCCATGTGGAATGCGCTCCAAGAGTCTATTTGTATGCCAGGGATAAATACTTATCAACTCTACAAGGTCCCGTAAATTGCCAAGGCTGCTTCTCTGACACCCAGGTTGGGGGGGGGAGGGTGTCTGGATCAGTCCCATGCTGGCCTCTCAGTCATCAGTCTGGGGTCCATGTGTTCCCCCTTGTTTAGGTCAGCTGCCTCTGTGGGTTTTGCCAGCCGGGTCTTGATTCCTTTGTTCATCACTCCTCTTTGCAACTGGGTTCCAGGAGTTCACTTTGGTTTTTAGCTGTGGGTGTCAGCCTCTGCTTCTGTCAGCCACTGAATGAGGGTTCTAGGATGGCATATAAAGTAGTAATCAATCTCATTATCATGGGAGGGCATTTAAGGTAGCCTTAATGCCAGTTGGTGTCATTTTTGTAGATCTGTGAAGATCTCACTAGTGCCAGATCTCTCCTCCAACTTATAATGGTTCCCTCTGTTATGGTATCTCTCATCCCTCTCTCCTCTATTCTTGCCCTGGCTCAACCTTCCTGCTCCCCCATGTCCTCCTCTCCCCTCCTCTTCTCCCCCTCTCTTTCTTCCATCTCCCTCTCCCCTCCCCTTCCCCATGCTCCGAATCCAAATAGGAGATCTCCTCCCATAACCCTTCTCCAGGTTACCATGCATAACTCTCTTAGGGTCCTCCCTGCTTCCCAGACTCTCTGGTGGTGGGATTGTAGCTGGCACTCCCCTGATCCATGTCTAAAATCCATATGTGAGTGAGGACATACCATATTTGTCTTTTTATGACTGGGTTACCTCACTCAGGATAGTTTCTTCTAGTGCCATCCATTTTCCTGCAAATTTCAAGATTACCAAATTATTGGTATCCCCAAGGCTATGTAAGAACTGACTGGATTCCTGTGGAAATGCTAGTTTAAAGGAATCAATAGTCTCATATGATATGCATTCACAGTTTCTGAAGATGTTGAATTCATTGTCAACTAGTATCAGAATTTTCCCACAAGACTGGAAAGACTTGACTACAGCAGTGATGGAGCTTGGTTCTCAATTGCAGTGGAGGACCTGAAAGAAAGATGAGGCTAGAACCATTGAACAATGAAGTAGAGCTAGAGGTGTGGAAATTTCCCAAGATCAACTTCTTGGAGAGGGTGATTATTCTGATGTACAAAGACAATCTCTATATGATGACCATAGCTGGCTCTATGCTGCACAGCAGTTTTGAATGCTTGAGACAGATTTGAAGAACTCAGAAAGAAAACTGTGTCATTTACTAAAGTTATACAGGGCCCAAAAGAAAACTTCACTGATTTTTTTAAAATAAAGATTGACTTCAGCTATAAATAGAACTATTACAAATTCAGAAGTTAGACAAACAACAATTAAATCTCTGGCTTTTGAAAATGCTAATTCACAATAAAAAAGATAATTAGACCTTTAAAGGCAGGATCAGCACCCATAGAGGAATGAATTCAACATATAGTCAATATTGAATGTCATAACCATTATGATAATTGGATAGGGCAAGTGATTATCAGAGGCTTGAAGAAAAATCAAAATATCAGGTGTTTTAATTGTGAAAAACAGGGTCATCTAAAAAGGAATTGTAGACAGGCCATTCCTAGAAACAATATTTCTTCTAATCCAAACAGAAGGCCCTTGCCTTTTGGAGTATGCAGAATGTGCAGCAAAGGCTGACAATGGATCAATGAATGCAGATCAACAAGGGACAGACAAGGTAGCCCTTTGTCATCAGGAAACTCCTTGGGAGGCTTCTCATAGGCCCCCATGTCAAATTGGGTTCAGCCATTCCCTGTCACAGTGGGTGAAAGTCCTCCCCAGAACAATTAAAGGACTTAATGCCTATTGTAAAAAACCATACTGCTCTGGATGATAGAACAGGCTTAGAAGATAAAACAAAAATTTCCAGAGAAACCCTGTCTCATAAAAACCAAAAAAAAATTCAGGAGAAAGCATAAAGAAAATATATGAAGATTAGATAAAAACAAAAGAGACCTCTTCATTAGAAAAGGCAATAGTTCATAAAATGGCACGACCATTCAATGTAAACTAACTTATAAGACTAACAAATGCTTTTCATTTGATCAGATATAACTTGCCAAAAGGGAAACTCTCCAAGTTAGGGTTGGTGCAGGGTTGAAGGCATCCAGCTAAGGAATCTGAAGACCACTGAACAAATAAGACATGTGAAGAAAAAGGACAAATCATCCAGAAAAATGTTCCAAGAAAAAGAGTAATTCGGCCTATTAGTATATTACATCTCAAAGAGGATAAAGTTTCATAAATTCCCCAAAATGTTTGTTTCTGCTTTCTCTACAGACAAATGCAAATGTTCTTCTTGTGGTCACAGTCCAGTTAAAAATTAAAGCTGCCTTTGGAGTTGGAGTGTAGCTCTCTCCTTCCCAAAACCCAAGCATGCTTGTTAAAGGAAAATAAAAATCTGTCTCATGTCAGAAGAGCCACCTGGTATGGGACAGAAGAAAAACAAAAATTAAGGGAGTATTTTATTGCCATCTCATGATTCTTTGGTTTTATTTTGATTCTTTAATACTTTTCTTAAGGTATAAATATCCTTAAGATTAATATATATAGATATATTAACTTTTTGTCATGATATTAATGGTCATATAGAGTACTAACTAATACATGAAGTCCAGGAAGTATAGTAGATTGGGTCAGTGTTGGTCCTTCTGAGTAAATATTCACACATTCTGCTTTTAATACATAGTTTTCTGCAACTTCAAATCTTTTTACTTCCAAAAAGTTTCCTTAGATCATAACTTTTAGTTCTTGTTCTTTAAAAAAGCTTGATACTTTATTTTTCATCTCAATTACTAGCATTCATTTACTGTACAAAATAATGGGGTTTCATCATGGTACTTTTGTTTGGATACCATGTACTTTAACACCCTGCTTTCTTCTTTAAAAGCTCGAGTCACCATGCATCCAGTCTTCTCAGCTTATCTTATGCATTTGTTGTCCTAAAATATTTTCACATAATTTTGTGTTTAAGATTTTCCTCATTTTCACCTTTTAACATTTATATACATTGTGTTTTCTTGTGTTCCTTCTAGCTTAATTTTCCATTCAAAAATTATTTCTAGAATAACACTGAATCAAAATTGATAAAAATCTATTAATATGTTAGAAATGAAAAGTAAACACTTTAAAAATCCCAGAGATAATAAAATGTGATTAATGGAAAATAAATGTAAAGGTTTAATTTCTAATTCTCAAGTTCTAATATCTAATTTCTGAGTTTTTCAAATTCTGATTTATGGTTTTGTTCTAGTTTGTTTCCTATTGATGTGATAAATACCATGCCCATGAGCAATTTTAAAGTTATCTATTTATCTCTTTATTTCCCTGTGTTTGAGTGGGTGTGTGCAGGCATATGCCTGTGGAGCTTAAAAGAGGGCATTGGATCCCCTGAAACTGTGGTTACAGGCAGTTGTGAATTGCCTGATGTAGGTGCTGGAAACTAAACTCAGGTCCTCTGGAAGAGTAGGAAGCACCCAAACACTGAGTCCTCTCTATAGCCCCCTTTTACTTTTTCTTATAATATAGCTACAATCACATCAAAACATTAAGAATTTACAATTATTTAAGAATTTTCCTTTTATTGAAATATTTTTGTCATATAATATATCCTGATTATAGTTTCCCCTTCCTCTCAGTTCCTACTCATCTCACCTCCTATCCAGATCTACTCCCTTTCTGTCTCTCATTAGAAAAGAATTAGGCTTCTTAGGGATAGTGATAAAATATAATCTAATAAAATAAAAAACTAACAAATTGGGAGTTGGACAAAACAAACAGGAGGAATAGAGCCCAATAGCAGGCACAAGAAACAGAGACCCACTCATTCCCACACTCAGGAATCCCATGAAAACACTAGAGGACAATAAATGTTTTTCTATTTCTCTCTCTCCCTCTCTCTCTCTCCCTCTCTCTCTCTCCCTCCCTCCCTCCCTCCCTCCCTCCCTCCCCCCTCCCCCGCTCTCTCTCATGTGTGTGTAACAGCAAATGCAAACTCAGAGAGTAATTTTCTTGAATTGGTTTTCTTTCGCTCTGTTGGTTCTGGGTATTGATCTCAGGTAGTCAGGTTTGGTAGCAAGTGCCTAAACCTACTGAGTTATTTTACTGGCTTAACAATAATTATTTAACATTGTCAAATTGCCAGTCTGTATTTAAATTATCTGTTGTTTACATTTTTCTTTACAGTTTGTTAGGATCAGAAGTCATTCATGTTTACAAGTACCCTAATTTATGGGCTTCCCACTACATCTATTTTCCTCCCTTGTAATTTATTTGTCAAAAATGTGATTTCTACTGTGAATGTTAGGAAGCTGATGGTCACAGCCCAATTAAATAATTCAACAGTTTTCTCTGAACTCCCTATTTCCTGTAAATTGTTTGATGGATCCAGAGAGTTTGTCAGGCATGGGGTCAACATTTTTAGTAAGGCTTTTTCATTCATATTAATCAGAGATTTTAAAACATCTTCATCAGTCATTTGTAAAAAAAATGAATTGGCACAATTAACAAACAAAATGTCAGTAAAGATATGATCTGAATCACAATTGGTATTATGTGCCAATGGACACACATGGAAATCACATCGAACTGCACAATGCCATCTCTCAAGGCATAAAATATTATTGGTGAAGAACATAAATACCTTACCTCAACTAATGTGTGGAAAGCATCTGATACAGTTCAACATCTATTCAGTTGGTATTGCCAATCATTGATTGAAGTTCTTCAGATCATTTGGATCAACGTGAAACAAGAAAGAATAACAGAGAAGAACTACTGAGACACAAGAACTTTAATTACTGGATATACTAGTTTATAAAAATCTAGAGAAGGTATCTTTAAAATTACTGAGACGTGTTTACAGCCTTTTCTTCCAAACAACAGTGGAGTAACAAATTTTATATTTTAAAGAGATGTTCTGCTCTTAAGAGCAACACAAACTGGGCTGGAGAGATGGCTCGGAGGGTAAGAGCACTAGCTGCTCCTCCAGAGGTCCTGAGTTCAATTCCCAGCATCCACATGGTTTACAAACATCTATAATGAGGTCTGGTGCCCTCTTCTGTTGTACAGGAATACATGCAGGCAAAAGACTGTATACATAACAAGTAAATACATATTTAAAAAAAAGAGCAACACAAACTATAAAAAGCTTTCATTTATGTATTAGTTAACTGAAAGAAGTAACTTAAGGCAGAAAAGATTTGTTTTGGCTCATAGTGTCAAGAGTTTCAGGTCACGGATAACTTGCCAGGTGTGTGTGGCTGATGCTGTTTGCATTGCTATGGACCAAGAAGCAGAGAAACTGTGACTAGGGTCAGGCCACATTTTTCAAAGACCCATTTCTAGTGACCAGCTTCCCACAGTTAGTCCTCACCTCCTAAAACTCCAGTCTCTCAATGTAATGTATTCAAAAGAAAAATGTTCCATACAAGTACATTTAAGATTCAAACCATAATGCACTGTGATATATTAAACACATTAAAATAATGATGTTTGAGAGATAGTTCACAGGTCAAGAGCATGGCTTCTCTTCCAGAGGACTCATGTTTAATTCCCCAGACCTACATGGTAGCTTACAATTGTTGCAGGGGATCCAGAACCCTCCTCTAGACTCTGTAGACACCAGACACACAGGCACTGCACTTATATCCATTCAAGCAAACACTCATACACATAAAAAATAAAAATAAATCCTTAAATACATTAAAATTCTGATATTAAGAAAGTATAAGAGGGCGAGGGTAGAGAACACATGGAATAAGCAGGAAGAGTAAATATTGGGAGTAGAAAGGTTTAAGTCAGTGGTTCTCAGCCTTTCTGATGCTGTGACCCTTTAATACATTTCCTCATGTTGTGGGGATCCCCAACCATAAAATTATCTTTTGTTTTTCATCATAAATATAATTTTGCTACTGTTATGAATCATAATTTAAATATCTGATATGCAAGATATCTGTTATGTTACACCCAAAGTGGGAAGTGGACAACAGTGCAACTCAGAGCCCCCAGGGGCCAACCATAGTTGACAGTGCTGAGGCAATTCTGAAACTCAGGTTATAAAAATGAATACTAGAATTAAAAGAATTATTAAGTTTTAGGTATTTGTTTCCTGATGGTTAAATTTGAACTTTTGTGATGGCCATTTGGTTTTGGACAAATTGTTATCTTTAAGCCCTTCCACGGTGGGTTTGGTGCCATGAGACTTCTTGAGATTCAAGTCAATAGATCATAGCCTCTATCATTCAGCCCCTTCTACTCATCCACCAAACCTGTATGCTGCTCTTGGCCTTTGAGTTCTAAGTCCATTTTCTATTGCTATTACAGAATTATAGGGGCTGAGAAGTCCAAGACTGGGCAGCCAACTCCTGGTCTTGCTTCACCCAATAGCAGGAACTAGAAAGTCCGTGGTCAGGGAGAGAAAACAGAACATGAGGAGAGAGAGTGAGACTTTGCTTTAAAACTATTGGCTCCTTTGGGAACTGAAGGATTCTAAAGAAAATAAGAACTCAATCATGAGAGGAAGATATTAATTCATTCATGAGGGCCCTGACACTATAACCCAAACATTTCACACCAGCTTTACCTCCCAACACTGCTACAGTAAATATATTCAATATGTAACCATGGCAGGGGCTAGTGAGCTGGCTCAGTGGATAAAGGTGCTTGCTGCCAAGCTGCTGACTGAAGTTCTATCTCTGGATTCACATGGTTGAAGGAGAGAATCATCTCTGACCTCCAAATGTGTGTGGTACTATTCATATGCACTTCCATACCAATGTGAACACACACTAAAAAAGTAAATAAACAAATGTACAAAGTCTTTTCAAAGCATATCCAGAATTTTCTTGGTCAATGGAGGGCTCACTGGACCCTCTCCTTCACGAACCTGACACCATTTGCTAATTCCAAACAGGTTGACAGCCCTCTACTTTAGCAGCCAGCTAGGAAGGGACAAGGATCAGGGATTGGATTCCTAGTCTCAGAACTTTTCCAGGTCCCTGGCCCCTCACCCCAGCCCTTGATCCTACTCATCTTTATTCAGCTCTACCATTGACATACTTGGTGTAATGATTAATATTTTCAACTTAACAGGATATAGAATTGTCTAGGAGACAAGACTCTGGGCATACCTATAAGGGATTATCTATTTTAAGTTAGTCTTTGGGCACGTTTGTGAGGGAGTTTCTAGTTTGGGTTAATTGAGGTGTAAAAACCCACCCTAACTATGGCTTGCACCATTCCCTAGACTGGGATGCAAGACTGCATTAAAAGAAGTAAGCTAACTGAACACCAGTATTTATTACTCTGATTTACAATGGTGGATACAATGTGACCAGGTACCTCTTATTCCTATCTCTGTACTGTCTCTGCCATGATGGATTGTACCCTTGAACTGTGAGACAAAAATAAACCCTTTCTCCCTTAAATTGATTCTATTGGGTATTTTATCACAACAATGAGGCAAATAACCAAAACACTTGGACTCCCCCTTTCTGGGCTGTATTTCAAATGAATGTGCTTCCTTAGACCCACCTGTGTAGAAAGCTGAAGAACACATTTCACGTAGAGGGGCCCTTGCAGAGTGGGAGAATGGGGTTCACTCTGTCCCTCTCTCTGTGCCTACCTGGACATGCTGCAGAATCCTGTGGGCACACAAGTCCCTTAGTTCTGTGTACTTGCCAGTCAGCGCCTGTCTTTCTCCCCAAGCTGCTCTACCAGGCTGAGCAGCATCATGGTCACTGCCACGGGCTCTGTGGCCAGGGTCCCCCTGCACCCAGCGGATGATCTGGTCCTTCATCTCTACAACTTCATTCTGTGGGGAGACCAGGCAGAGACTGCAAGTCTTGTCTCATCTGTTTTCCCCAGGAAGGACCCAGGACTTAATCCTTCAGTGGAGGGAGGATTGTATTCCTTTGTGCTATCCAAGGACCCTTGTTTCTCTGCTGCTAAACAAGCACAGACTTACAGCCAAGCTAAGGGTCAGGCAGCTCCATCTCACCCTGCCTGGCAGTGGCTCTTGGGTGCAGGCCACTCACATTCTGGTCATGATTTGGTAACACAAAGGGCCCTGGAAGGAGGAGGTACCTCTCCCAGTTAGGTACAGGACAGTGATGGTGGTATGGGAGGAAGGGCTCAGGTGAAAGAGACTTTTTGGTGGGGGATAGCCCACAGTCAGGATGACAATATAGTTTAGTAGAAGGAGGCATTGCGAGATGCCCCTAGACAGTGGACCCAGAAGCAGGACAGTTATCACAGAAAGAATTTAGACTTCTGAGTGAAACTGGCATGTCAGGGTCAGAGGACAGGGTTGGACAGAGAAGTAGGAGCAGAGCTCCCTCCTATACACGAAGTAGCTGAGCCTGGTACCTGCCTTTAGAAATGCTGGAGTGATGACCTTTTAGCACCAGATCCTTCGAGCACTGGATGGCCTGCTGGTCAGCAAGCAACTGTGACAATGAGGACCAGCTTGATATAATTTCCACATCTGACAACTGATTTCACCTTGTTTAGTAAGAGTGGTCCTGCCTGTGACAGACAGAGGCAGCTGACAGAGGTGGGGGGGCAGAGTATAGGGTGGGTTTGAAGCTACTTTAGGTGAAGTGTAAATTGTGCCCACTAAAGTATATAAATGCCAAAAGCTTAACTGAGCACTCATCTTGTGGCATTTTGTCTACATCCCTCCCCCAACCCTGCCGTCTGGTCTCTCTTGCAAGGACCTTGTAATGTGCTTTTGTGTTTCTATGGTCAAACACACAGTGAGTGTTCAATAAATACATACTGAATGCAGGTCAGAAAAAAGATGAGAATTGAGGAAGTAGAGGGATATTTCTGGTACACATTGCCTGAAAAGTCTAGAATCACTGTGTGGTTAGCACTTCACTTTTTAGACAGGGTCTTGTTCTGGAACTCAGACTGGTCATCCTTCTGTCTTCACCTCTTGAGTGTACCACTACTGGCTCTATGTGATTACCCTTTAAGGAAATGCATTTCCAGTGTATGCCTAACTATTGGCAGGCCTGGAGGTGGGGTAGATACAGATCTAGTCTTCAGGAGACACTGTGGGGAGGGAAACTAGAACCTAGTAAGAATCAAAACAGAAGCCATTCTATGAGCCAGTTGTCTCTGCTTGGCAGGCCTCCAGCTCCAAGTGGGCCAAGGCAGATGATATGATGGGAACTTTGGATAGAAGGAAGAGGTCAGTGTCTTATACCAGCCCGTGAATTGGCAAGTGGAAACTGCTTAGGAGGCTTCACATAAGACATTTGGATATTTGAATGTTACACTAAACAAAGAGCCAAAAAAGCACTTCTTTCCTCAGATGCCCTTTGTTTTGCTGTCCAAAAGCTGGTGATGAAGAAGCTACCAGGCTCTGCAAGGCAGGAGCACTAGGAGAGAGGAATTCTAGGCTGTGCCCTCCCTCCCTCTACCCAGCTTTGAGCAAAGGTTTAGTTTATCCAAATTATCTGTGGTTTTTGTCTTATGCTAACTCAAGCTTGATAGAACCATGCTTGTATACACTTAAGGAAACAATAGATGGAATCATTAATAACATATAAAAACGGGACAACAAATGACAGGTTCATTCCTCACAACTGGTTTTAAAGCAGTTGCTAAGCGGGTTTGGGGCAGGTACACTGGGAAATAGCAGCTTGTCAGATAGGTATTATGCCATTCCTGCCTGAATCTGTAAGAATGGGTGTGCTGATGGGATACTAGAGTAAAGATGATTAGTTATGCCTGTGTCCTTGCCAGAATCCAGGGAAAACAACTGGTTAGGGAGTCATACCTTATTATAAAACGTTGCTTTCCACTGGGTCTCTCTTGCTGGAGCTGGTCTTTGCCAAACCGGGCAGCTGCCTTCACATCTGAGTCCTCTGTATCTGAAGGAGTCAGGAAACTTAGGATCCTGATCTCTTTTCTGAGGCAATGTTTACCAGACAGAGGACCAGCCACTGTGGTGATATCTTGCTTGTACAAATAAAGTCTGTCTGAAGATCAGAGGATGGAGGTCAGGAGGTCTGTACAGAAAACAGGAAGTGAGATTTGCTTGACAGAAACAGGAAGTGAGGTGATTGGGTAGAGACAGGAAGTGAGATGACTGGGCAGAGAGACATAAGTGGGAAGAAACAGGAACTTCTGCTCTTTTCTGCTGGTAATCTAATGAGGTAAATGTGTCTTTGGCTTGCTCCTTCTCTCTGATCTCTCAGCATTTTCCTCTATATCTGACTCTGGGCTTTTTATTATTTAGACCTATTAAGAATTCCATTTACAAGTCACTGCCTACCATAAGGACTGACTTTCACTACTGCCCTTTCTCAGCTTTGAGAGGTGGGTATACTCTCAAGTACCAGAACCCATTTGCCACCTCATTCCTAGTCTGTAATTAAGCAAGTCAAAGTCTGGACTTATCTGGCACTTTCATCTCAGATTCAGAGCTGGAGACCCTGCACTGAGATGAGGAAAATGATGTTTCTGTCAAGAGCAAACTCACAACTACAGGCAAATCTCCCTTCCCTTATCATAGTACTGCCTGCCCCCTCCATGTGTCTAGTAAGTGCCAAGATCACCAGTCCCAGCAGAGAGCAAGCTGGCAGCTGAGCTGGATACTAGAACGGTGATTCTCTATGTGTACTACTTCATGGTGAAGACAATGTTAAGAGCTGATAAATGAAGCCTGGACAAAATGAGTCAAGAAATATCTATGCCATTTAACATATATTTATTGAAAACTACGAGATGCAAGGCACTGTGCTAGATTTGGTAGGGGATTAGACATGAAGAGCCACCCCTGTCTTCTAAGAGCTCACAATCTAATAGTTTGGAGAAGGCCGAGAAAAGGGGAGAAGAAGTCAAGTCCGCAAACAGCTCTAGTACAAGGCTGATTATAGTGAGTACCATAAAACATACAAGATGATCAGACTGGAGAAGAACAAGAATGTGAAAAACTGAATACAAACTGGGCAGGACACAACTACTATTCATAGAGATATGAAAGTAGCATTGAGGATCAAGTTTAAAGATACCATTTCTATTTTTGAAAGTAAGTACCCAAACCAACATAATGCAAACTATAGAATGTATGTACACTAAGAATGGAGGTGTCATCAATCCCCCAATCTAGTCGGTTTGCTGGAAATAGCAGAACACTTCCAAAATAGAGTAGAACAAGCTACAATAAGCTTATCTTATGAGCCAAATGCTGTTCAGAAAAGGAACTACACTCATACAGAAGATCATGAATTAAGCTCAGAGACTAAAAGGCATAGAATTACACCCATCTTAGTGATCAGAGTTCAGTATCACATTTAAATAGGTGTTCATGTCAATCAACTGGGATTTAGGCCAGTAATGCTGGGTGGATAGAATGTAAGGAAAGCCAGCAACGCAAGTCTTCTCAAGAAGCAGCTCAATTATCAAATGCAATTGATTCTTGGAAAATTTCAAAAAGCACAGACCCACTCAATCTGGCTGGATGGAAGGGGGAGGAAGTCTATGTTAGGAACACACATACACTGATGTAGGCAGCTGCCAGTAATCCAGGAACATATAGGCAGGCCTCCCTTAGGGTAGGACCCAAGTAGTTCTGGGCAGAACAGCAGGAACATGCATGGTTCAACTCATAGGGGCATCTCCTTGAAATACCTTCTGCCTCCCTCCATGGTCCAATACCAACCAGAGGCTTCATTTTCCTCTTTTGCATTTCACAGTCCTAAAAGGCCAACTCCATCTTCTCAAATCAGGTCTTAGTGCTGGTTGCTGCCTTTGGGTTAGGTGACTGGGTTCGGTTAAATTAATGTAGTCCATAAATGGGGTGGCAAGTCATGTGGCACACTACAGGGACACAGACCAGGAGTACAGGCAGGTGAGATGTCATGCCACTTCAAGCACAAAAATCAAGCACACAGAATGCAACATCACAGGAGAAAGATGCCCACACTGTGATGTGGTAGGGATTATTCTGTAAATTCAAGAGTGGGTATGATACAAATAATTGACATAGTTAATCATAATAAGCAGCAAATGGTAAACATTTGCTTTAAAAATTCAGCAAGTATTAAAAATTCTAATAAAAGCTACAGAGGGTTCCTTTTTCAATTTAGTGAAAGGATGGATCTCTACAGAGAGCCAGAATTCTATGTAATCTAGCTGTTCTCTATTCCCTTTCAAGAAGCATACATGTGGTTAGAAAGAAAAGTGCAATGAGGTAGATACATAGATGCATAGACAAGCACACACTGCAAGAAGCTTGCTCACGTTTGCATGGAACATAGGAGTATACCTAGAGGATCCAAGGAAATTCACCCCCACATTACCCAAGGCAAAGGATGCAACTATGGGCCACATGTTAAAGCCACACACTGATTGCTTTTGGAGAGAGTGGGGATTTCACCACCGATACCTTTTATAAGCTGATCAGATAATAGTCATGGGAAAGACGATGGTTTTTAGTGTTAACTCTAAAAAAATGATCCGTTTCAGAAAAAAATTTATAGAATTCAATCTAGAAAAGAATAAAGAGGGCAGGAAGGAATTTGAAGAGATGCCATGCCCCAGCTGGGCAGTGAGCACTCTACTACGTTCCAAGTTAGTGCTACTCTCAACTTTAATAATATCTTTTGTCAGCCTTGACAAATGATGAGCAAATGAGCAAGAAATGGCATTCCTTCAAGGCAAAGGTGCCAGATTTGTCCCAACAACTCACAATGAGAAAAGTAATTAGAAAAAGAAATGGGTTCAGACCAATTAACAAGAAACCACCAGAACTGAGTCCACAGAGCAATAGGAGTTGCTGTGTAGCAACTGCTGTTAGCTTCTCTCCAGCCTGGAAAAGCCCCACAGGGCCACTATGGTGGTTTGGAGAGCATCCGAGGCCCTTCTGGCTAAGATCATGGAGATCATGTCAGACCTAGCTTTCCAGGTTAGGGTTGGGAGCCCTTCCAGGCTATGCCCCCTGGAGAGCCCGACCTCCCTCAAGAGGCTGCCATAAGGGCACATTTTCTGGTCCTCCAACATCCCTCAGGGCACAACTGGAAACTCAGGCCATAGCCTTGGTGTGGGTATCTTCCTCACCTGCTGTTTTTCCTGAAGGGGGCTGCCTAAAGCAATGGACCAACTGCAGGGTGATCAGTTTTGATTTCTGTGCTACATGGACTATCAGAATGGATTCTTGCCCTCTGATCTTGTTTTATTGCCCATCTTGGACATGACTATTCCAAGTCTTGGACCAGACCTGGTGCAACCAGCTTTTGTGGCATGCAGCCTACTGGAGGAACACAGCTCCATTTCTCTCCAGGCCTATACTGGCATCCCTCTTAGATATGGCTGTAGAAAGTGATGCCAGAACAGACGGGCAAATTTCTCATTCTAGTTCCCCAAAGCAGAAGTCACAAAACTGATCTCCCATTCTAGAATCACTTGATGGGAGGAGGATGGAGGTCACATAATATCACCAGTCAGACGAGTCTTCTGTGTCTGAGATGTGAAACTGCTCCTCACTCATTGAATCCAAAATAGTCAAGGCTCCTGACAGCTTGAAAGATAGATGGTCAGACCATGTTTGGACCATTCTGTTGGTCTAGGTGAAGCTGAACCCTGTTGTTGGTGGCTGGGGCTATCCTGATGAGCAGTCACAGAGTGCTATGAGCAGTGTGTGATAGACACATCTTTAGTGTGCCTTAGTGGCCAGGTTGTATGCTCACTTTCTTGGTGGGCAGGAGATTTAGCTTTTCTTTTGTAAGTAAATTTTTGAAGAAAATGTCATCATATCTAAGTACAGAAGCAATAAAAATCGCAAGTTAACAGACAAAAAAGAATTCAAGGATATGTAAAAAAAATCCAAAGCCTACACAACAAAAATTTAAAAGAACTAAAAAAGGGAAGGCAATAAAAATAGGAAAATAACATGACAATTGATATAGAAGAACTACTTTATAAAGTCAATATATCCAAAGGTAACTTGATAACTAGTCAAAGGAGATGAACAGATAATTTGCATGTAAGAAAAACAGTAATAGTATTGAAGTAATTGTATGAAAGATGAGACCAGTAGTCAGGAGGCCTGAGGAGTCCATCTTTGTTTCTGGTACTAATGAGCTATGGGATGTCATCGTGTGACCTTCACTGAGTTCTTACAGGCAAGGCACACTCCTTGAGAACCTTAAGAGGTAGGGACTGTGACTACTCCTCACTTCATAGCTGCAAATGGAAGGTTGGAGAAGTAATATTTATGAAGTCTGATATTGGGTGAAGGAGGTGTCATTTTACCTTCAAGTCCTGAAGATGTCCCTCTCATTTGGGGGTACTCTTTCACTTTATTTTGAACAAGATGATAGCATGTGAGCACAAACTCCAACTGATGTTTGTTTTTGGTGTTCATAGGGGGCACTGAATTAAACTAGCTTAACAAAATGGTAGAAAAAAAGGGTTTATCTCCATCTCAGTAAGTTTTACTAGAACTGAGATCCAAGAGTGATGCTTGAAATGCAAAAAAAAAAAAGGCCTTTTAAAAGACCATTTGAAGTGGTCATGTTGTAGGTACAGCACTAATTTAAAGACACAAAGTAATGATTGTAATATATGAATATGTTCTTATGGATTGGAGGAAACTTCTGGTGAGAGCCTCATGAAGGGATTGTCACAGTGCTACTATAGATCAAACAGAGGTAAGTGATGAGTCAAACAGGTTCCCATGTTGGTGAGATCAAAAATGCACAAATGGAATATGGTGAAAGGAGTATTCTCTAAATTAATATATTATTCCATATAATGTGATTTACAATATGTATCTATAACTAAATTAATAAATTAAATATTATGGCATTTGATCTATTTGCATCTCTAAAATTTTATGAATTCAAGTAGGCCAAAACCTTGGGGCAATTTTCCTTTCAAGAAAGGTACATTACCATATTGATGCTACTGAATAGTGGTGTATTTCCCTCAGGGGTGGAACTTGGAAAGGACCTCCCAGCTCCCTACTAGACCCCTATATGCAGATTTTTCTTCTCATTCTAGATGTGAAGATTAAAATACCTCGACAGTACTTTCTGCTGGGAAAAGCAGCCAAGGTATGTTAAAATGGTAAAAGCTACCCTCAATAGGTGTAGTGGGAAACATGAACATCTATAAATTGCTGGTGGAAGTACAAATCATTTCAACTGCTCACAAAATAAAATAGATAGGTGCCACAAAACTGTTCATCTCCTTTGACTGGGACAAAGCCTCTGCAGACCCCTGCTATAGGTCCCAGGGCAGTGTCTACTTGCAGTGGGTGGGCTGGTGCTTCTGTAGTGCTGAGTGTCTCTTGAACACACGATCACATTCACTGCACTCACAGCGCCTGGACCCACTGTGGATCCGCCTATGGCGACTCAGGCCTGAGCTCCTCCGGAAGGCCTTGCCACACTTGTCGCACTCATAGGGTTTCAGTCCACTGTGGATGCGCCGGTGCTTGATGAGGTCAGAAGGCCCCCGGAAGGCCTTGCTGCACTCGCTACATGCATAAGGCCTCTCACCACTGTGGATTCGTGCATGCTCCAGCAGGCTGGAGCTCTGGCGGAAGGCTTTGCCACACTGGCTACACTCATAGGGCTTCTCACCCGTGTGGATCCTCCTGTGCTTGGTGAGCTCCGAGCTTCTCCGGAACAGCTTGCCGCAGTGAGGACAGCCATAGGGTTTGGCGCCGCTGTGGATGCGCTGGTGCTCTGCCAAGCCGTTGACACCACGAAAGGACTTGCCGCAGTGGTCGCAGTCGAAGGGCAGGTGGCCTGTGTGCATCCTCTGGTGCTTGAGAAGTTCCTGGCGGTCCAGGAAATCCCTGCTGCACGCCTTGCACGCAAAGGGCTTTTCCGAAGTGTGAAGCTTCTGATGTCGAAAGAGGTGGGTGTTGGCTTTGAAGGACTGCCCACACTCCTCACAATCATAGGGCTTCTCTCTGCTGTGCACCCTTAGGTGCTGACTAAGGCCTGCGTTCTTCTTAAACCTTTTCCCGCACTCCTCACACTCAAAGGGCTTCGCTTCCCTCTCCATTTGCTCCCTCTTTTCCAAGGCATCTTCCACAGCCCAACTGGGGCCAGGCCGGGGCTGAGCAGCCACAGCTGGGTGACTCTTCCTGTGCTCATTAAATTCTGACACCCCCCTGAAGACCTTCCTGCAATCGTCACATTCCCAGCCCTTCTCACTGTGAACCCTCTGGTGCTGAACAAGGAGCACTTTAAGGCGGAAGGTATCCCCACACTCTTTACATGCAAAATGGTGTTCTATGGGCAGATTTTGTGGGCTACTCCCCCTTCCCCCAGAGTTCCCATTTTGTTTGACCTCAGCGCTGGGGTCATGGGCCCTCGGGGAGCTCGTCGACGCCATATCTTGCAGCTGGACTTCTTCATCCATCTTGTGGTGGGAGGTCACAGAGGGATTTTCTACAATGATTAGTGATGAAAGATAAATGTGACACAACAGTCTACAGAAGGCCCAGGGAAAAGGTTACTTTCCTTTGTCAACAACTCCTCTCTCCAGAAACTGTCGAGTACCACGAAAGGCCTAGAAGATATCAGATGAAAGCACCAGAGAGAAGGTAGGAGAGTCCCAACTATGGACATTGCTTATCAAAGGGAATGTGAAGATGCCTTTGCTTTTAGCAAGGGGACAGTCACACCTCATTACCAGAGCTTCAGCTGGGCTCTCAACCCTAATCCTAGACTCCACAGGCTTAGCTGCTCTTCCCAAGTCTAACTTCAACCTAAAGAGCTCAGTATCCTCCAACCTAAAACTCAACCTCTCCCAAATTTCCTCATGCTTCTTCATATTTCCTTTATGCTCACCTGTGTGATCTGTGCTGAGGAATGGGTCTGATACCAACAGAACCTGTCCTTGTGATAGATGAGATACCAAAGGAGGACTCACAACAGGAACTCCTGTTAATGGAAGAAGGCAGCTGATGATATCAGTATGGAGGAGCAGGGAAAGAGTTGTCAAAGGAGATCCCTTTCAAATCTCCTGGGCTGTCTATGGCTTACTCTCAGGAGTTCCTTCTAAAAATCCCTCACCCCATGCAAATACCTGATGGATAAGCAAGAGCTCAAAATTAGCCCCAATCAACTGGCCATATGATTAGTATAATTTATGTATGCACATGTATATGTACAATGTATTACATTACATATAACATATGTACATATGTAGTATATATACAATATAGTATTTATTTGTATATATTGGTATAATTGTTATAATTTGTCTTTCTAGCCTTATGGTTAAGATCAAGTATAGTATCTTTTCTGATCAATTTAATGTCTGATATGTTCTTTACCTGAAGACAATATATTGAATTTTAAAAGCACTGTAAATGATGACAGGTTAGCTCTAATTTCTATTTTTACATTTATTTCTTTACTGTGTCTGTGACTATGTGGGCATGTTCATACTATGGTGTGCTAGTGGAAGTCAGTGTCTCTTCCTACCTTATGGATTCTGGGGATTGAACATAGGTCAGCAGACTCAGCCATTTCATTGACTAATGATCTAATGTCTTTCAAGTGAAAGACGGGAAGAGATCTTTTCATGCCATTAGGAGTTGGGGGAGCTGCTGTTGAGTGTTCTCAATAAGAAAGAACAAAATGAAGTTGTATACGGTTGGCCATGTATCCCCAACTCCACTTCCAGTAGATGGTGAGTCTGAGAAGTTCTGGAGGCATTCTTACCAATGGAGGTTACAGCCCTGGAATATGTCAGTGCCTGCTGCTCTGTGCTCAGACTCAGACTCAGCCACTCCTGTTCGGTGAGGTGCCACGGCACAATATCAAATGACACCAAATCCTGCAATAAATCACATCAACAGTCAGTCTTTTAACCGAATTTGTAATGAGGCAGGGTGGCACCAGTAATGCCAGGGGCAAGAGGTTAGGGCCTGAAATATTCACATCTGTATATGTTGCTAATGTGGAGATCCTAGAAAGAAAACAAGATCAAGTACAAGGAGACCTGGGCTGTTTGGTCCTGGAACTCTCACTGTCTTCCAAAAGGACACAAGACACAGACTTAGGTCTCTCACATACATGGTGGGTATCATAAGCACACTGGGAATTCATTCCTTGGCAGCCTGTGGGAGAGAAGCAGAGGACAGGAAGGAAGGCAGTAGCTATGGGTCATACTCTGATGCGTATCATGCTGGGCAAAGGCTGGGGCCACAATCAGGGAGCAGTGACAAAATCTCAAGCAAGGCAAGAGGGAAGCACAGCTCACCTTGGTCTCCGGCATCTCAAGAGGGACTGCCAGGACCTGGTTTCCTGGGGCTTCATCTTGGGGAAGGGCAAGACCTTGGGGAGCATGTGGAGCTAAGGAAAGTGAAAAAAATCTGTGAATGTGAGTGACAAGAGCCCTGTTTCTTCTTGTTCCTCTGGGATGGCATCAGTGACTTCCTATTCCCTAGTTTTAAATGTTACAGAGTCTTTTTTCCCAGGTAGGATGAATGACAAGGCAGAGCATGAGTATGCCTGAGAAAACACATATGAAACAGGAGGAAAGTAGGCTAGCAAATAATTAATATAGGTAGGCCAGAGAGGGGCAGGATAAGACAAACAAATGCTAGCTTAGGCAGAGTTGCTGGCACGAAGACTAGCTGCAAGAGACTGGCTGACTACAGGGTTTCCTTAAAGTAAGCCTGGATGAGGTCAATACTCATACAGGGAGGAAGCACACTAAAGAGAGTACCAGAAGAAATTACTCAGAATAAGGAGTCCTTTCATGAACCCCTGAAACTGATGAGGTCAGTGAAAGGAAGAGAGGTGACAAAGCACAAGAACCTGAACTTCTTCACTTAGAAGCGGAGCCTTTAAAAGCCTTGGGACAAAAACCATGAAGAGCCTCCTCATGTTATTCAACAAAATGGGAGTTGGAAAAATAGCTGGAGAAAAATACTTCTAAGAGAAGATCTTCAAACATTACATTGATAAAGAAAAGATCTGAAGTGTGTATGTGTGTGACCTTTTTTCTCCATGTTGCAAAGTAAGTGAGCTATTGTAAGATCTTATGATAGATGCCTTTGCATTACAAGTCTCTCACTTCAGTGAGTTCAAAGAAACAGCCAAATAGTTCAGGTTCTGATGTCACCTCAATTCAACTCATAATTAAGTGAAAAAGAAGCATTTTAACATTAACTGAAGGATAACAAAAACTCAGGTTCTTCAAAAGACTTAAACATGGCATCTTAGAAAGGGTGAAAGGAAATTTCCACATGTGGCCATAATCGAGTAACAAGGAACAATTTAGCATCCACAAACAAGTTGCAAGCCTGTGTTCAACAATGGTTTTTAATACTAGGGTAGTAGGAAGTATAGGAGTAAGATCCCCAGAAAAACAAATGGGGTGAGTCCTGTCATCAATTCAGTGCTCTGCCTGGAGGCAATGTCCAGATTGAGAGTGTAGGAGAGGTGAAACCACACAAAAAGTGTTTAGCAACCTCATCAGAATCTTTGAAGGCTATTATTCAGGGGAAAATGGAGGTGCTATGTAGGTAAAAGAAGTGAAAAGGCATGTATAAGACTTCCCTTGAATCTTTTCTGACTACAAGTATTGAATGAAACTCCTAAGGACCATAAGCTGAACAGTTCCCAAGACACACAAAGGTAGGGACATGTTCAAGGTCTGATCAACTCACACAGAGTCTTTATGATCCCCAGGAATATTCAGAAGTCATGCCTCAACAGTAAGGTTTGTCAAACTACAAAGATCTGCCCTATAAAACCTTAAATATAGGCCCCAATATAGAACATCAAATTGACTTACAAATAACTGCTCATAACCATCAAAGTCTAGAAACTCAATGAAATAATCATTACAATGTGCAATTTCCAATAAAAAATTGAACTGCCAAGAAACACCAAAATGTGAACAAAAGCAAAGAGAATAATCAGTCAATAGAGACACCCAGAAATGAACAGAACTAACAGAGAAGGAAAAACAATAATTTAACTATGCCTCAGCACTGAAAAAAAAAAACAAGGACACAGGGAGAAACAGAAGATATAAAAAGAACCAAATGAAATTTTTGTAGATAAATACATATAAAAATAAAAATTCACTGAGTATGATTAGTAGATTAGATACTACAAGGAAGAGTGGAAAACATGAAGACATGACAATAGCTGCTATCCAAATGAAGTCAGAGAGAGAACTACCATCCTAATTAAATTTCTGAAAATGTTAATTCTAAAAGTCACTGGAGGAAAGAAATGATGGAAAAGAAAACAATTAAGTATTATAATAAAAGACTGTCAACCAAGAATTTTATATGAAATATATTCATCTAGAAAAATATCCATCAAAAATGAAGGATAAATAAATATTTTAGACAATTTACCATTAGTAGCTCTGTACCATAAAATATACCAGAGGAAAATGTTCAAGTGGAAGAAAACGGAATTAAACTTAAGACTACACAAAGGCATAAAGAATATCAGGAATGTAAAGGGAAACATAAGACTTTTATCTTCTGCATTTCAAAATGTTTAAAATGTAACTGACCATTTCAAGAAAAAGCAGTAACTAAACATATAAGCATGAGTTTTTATCAGGCTCCAAAAAGGAAAAGTAAGGGGGAAAAAAGAGATGGAACAAATGAAAATAAATAGCAGGATGGAAAACTTAAACTATATTACATAGATAATTAAGTTAAATACAAAGAGATTAAAAACTTCAATCAGAAGGCGCAGATTGTTAGATTGTATTAAGAAAGAAGATTCGAGGCTGGGTTGGACCGACAGCCTCCAAAACAATACAGAGAAACCCTGTCTCGTAAAAAAACCAAAAAAAAAAAAAAAAGAAGAAGAAGAAGAAGAAGAAGAGTACCATGTCTCGTAAACCCCCCCCCAAAAAGAAGAAGAAGAAGAAGAAGAAGAGTGGGTGCAACCTAAGAAAGTGTTAAGGACACAGACATGTTAAAGTAAAAGAAAAAAATAGTATACTATAACCAATAGTTAGAGTCTAAATCTCACTATCCAAAAAAAAAGCATATCCGAAGAAGGTGAATGACAAGGGTGGCTCAGAGTTCTGAAGATTCTAGGAAATAGGGAGTTCTGAAGAAAACTTGGAAGGTTTCAGTATAAAAAGCATTAAGTGTCCAAACTAGGATAACAGGCAGCAAGTTAAAAAATGCAAATTCTTCACAGAAAATACAGGTAGAGATAACATTTGACTGAAAACCCAAAGAGGAGGAGAAAAAAAAATACACACATAGTCACATTTTCATAGAAAGAAGGAAAACATTCAGACTGACCTGTAGCTAGAATGTTTGTGCAGTTAAAAAAGAAAACAGAGGCAAGTCCTGGGAAGATATCTTTTCAGTTTCTTTCATGTGTTTAATGTGTGACTTTTTAGACATTAAGCTGAATATCATTGGTATCAGAAAAGACCAATCTTAAATAGCCTTTTGTACGTAAACCTGGGGTAAGACAGATGGTCAGCATACTAGAGAATAGAGCTGAGACCAAGGAGACAGCAGGGGAATGGCCCCTTAGGTCAGATAAAAAGATCAACATCTTTTAGAATACCTGTAAGTCAAAGAGAAGGACTAGTGGAAATCTGTAAGCAGTCTGTGAAGAAGTGACCAGAAAGTCTAAGCACAAACTTCTTGGAATCATCTCCTTAAGCTATCAGCTTTAAGGAAAGGTATGGACAGAAGGTCTAATGTGACCCCTAAGTCTTTGCCAGCTGTCCTACCATTTTTATCTGACTGCCTAGCAAAAGTATATCTCCAAATATGTGAATTCATCTCGAGATATTAAGTGGACAAACCCTCTCTTTGTTCTATTGTCATCAACGCAGGGTTCCTCTGGCTTAATGGAGTCTTCTTGGTATGCATTCAATGTCTACTTTGATTTTGGCTTCTTATACAAACACAATGAACTTGTAATAAATTTATTACATGATTTTTTAACACAATTCACTTCCAATTGACATTGTTGTAACCAAATGAAACAGAGAGAGGCACATCACATCATATATGTAGTTCTGGACAAAGATGGCCTATTATAAACCTTTTCTTGCCTTCAAGCCCCTAACAAGCTTTAGTCTAGTACACAATTGAATATCCTGCCCCACCCCCTTCAAAATCACCCCATCCAGACACATTGACCTTCATGCAGATATAGAGATGCCAAGGCCATGGCCCTCAAAGCCTGTGTACTTGCCAAGAATACCATCTCTTATCGCAAGAGGTTCCTTCTAATAACCAGTCCTTAACTCAAATGCCACTTCCTTAAAACCTCTTTATTCACCAGGCCTGGCAGTTTCCTCTAAACATTTTCACTAATGAAAAATTATCTTTTGAAGTTGCTTGGTTTTCTTAGAAAAAAGTTGATCCAATGGGACAGGTCCTTCTCTCCATTGGTTGCCCCTAAATCTCCAGTGTCTGTTGCAGCTTCTAGCACCATGGAGCACATGACATGATTTATTGCGGAACAATGGAATCAATGGGAGCCACAGTGCTGTGTTAAATGGAGCAAGCTTCCTTTTACGAAGCACATAGGTAGAATATTTTGAGCTGTGTGTCTCCTGTCACATAACTTCACTATCACAACTTAGAACTGGTTGTTATCACCATCATGTTCCAGAAAATAAAGAATGTACAACTCTACGTACCCAGGCTAGAACCAGAAGATCAGCTGATAGTAATCACTGTGCAGGCTTCAAGGTATAGATGTATGTTTTGTAGCTACGTTTATATCATGCTATCTGCATGGCATAGCAGAGCCTCACTGCATAAATACATCATTCTTTTCCTGTTACACAGACACACACACACACATGCGCGCACAGACACACACACACAGACACAGAGACACAGACACAGACACACACACACACACATGCGCATACACACACACACACACACACCATATATGCTCAGAGGTCTTCCAAACCATCCACCTTTAATGGAGCAAATCCCACTGAAGTGTTTTTTTCTTAATTGCCACGATTAACTGTTAAAGTCCTGGAGCTACAACTCTAAAGAACTGTTAATTATCCTTCTTATATAGCAATAGGAGCAGACCTTCCTGTACTAGTTCTCCCTGGGCATTTGGTTTAAGAGCACTTTAGCTCCTGGTGGGTATGTGATGGCCACCCACAGTAACAGAGCACTTGGACACACAGAGGTAATTTAAAAGGTACTCATGAAAACAGGAGGGAAAATGTGTGCCCTGATTTCACTAAAGGGAGTTAAACTCTGCCCAGTTAGCAGGTAAGACAGCTTATCCTCAGTATAAGAAGATCATTTAAAAATGATAATACACATGAATCTCTACTGTGGTTAAAAATAAAATGACCACCAATCCTGAAGATAATTGGATCACTTAGTCTCTGTGTTGCAGAACTATTCCACTTTAAAATGATGGAATATAATCTAGAAAATAGAGATCAAGGTCAAAGCAATTCCACACAGAATATGGACATAGAGGATAATGCTGACCTTGAACATAAATCACTTTTATTCAGGATAGAAAAGCATACCCTGAATCCTAAATAATTTTCCATGGCTTACTAGTACCTACAACTGGGAAAGAAAACGGAAAGAACCACCACAGGAAAACAAACCAACTTTTAAGGCAAACAACACTGTCTTTCTTTACATGGGACACAAAGGCCAGTGCTATCCATGCCCAGAGCACAAAGGCTTTGTCAAGGTTAACTGCAAATTTCATATTGGGCTTAGCCAAGTCCCTGTATGCTGCAGCTGTTTAATAAACATCTGCTATGAAAAATCATGTATAACAAGAGTGTCAGTGCCAATTGCAGGGCTACACAACTGTGAATTCTAGAACACCAGAGCTCATGTGGTGAGCAAATCTTTCTTTAGAGCAATATGTAAATTTTTAAAAAATGTATTAATGTATAGTCATAGATACTTCCACATGTGTTTACTGCAGTATTATTCATAACATGTAAATTTTACCTAAGCTACTTGTTTTAATTGATTGCATGAAATTACAAACACTAAGGGACCCAAAATAATCATTTTATTTTTACTGAAAGAACAGAAATTGAAATTTGAATTCAACAGAGACATAAAACAACTTATAAAAACTAGTGAATAATTTGGTCTCTTTTATACTTTCCTGGACAAGTATTATCTTTCTGTGTCAGCAGGGCAGGAAGAGGCAGCAATGCCACTCAAAAGACCCATCTGGTAGTTTCTAAAAGCTTCCAAGGGTGCCTCAAACACCTAGAGTGCCTCAAATACCAAAATGAGAATGTGCAGTAGGAATATCTTCTGGGCATGCTGATTTAGGTTATATTATCAAGTTGACACAAACCTACTGTTACCTAAGAAGAGTGACTCTTAATTGAGGAATTGCCTCAATCAAAATGTCCTGTGGCCATGTTTAGGAGAGATTTTCTTGGTTGATGGTTGATGTTGGAGGGAACGACCATCCTTAGTGTAGCTAAGCAGTGAATCAGATAGCAGGTCAATAAGTAGTGCTCCTCCATGATTCCCACCCTTGCTTCCCTCAATGATGGATTATGACCTAGAAGTATAAGCTTAATAAACCCTTTCCTCTCTTACCTGATTTTGGTCAGGGTGTTTTATCACACCGCTAGAAAAACCAAATAGAAAAGACCCTAAAATTAACTGTTCAATTTCCTTTAGGGCCAGAGCAAATGTGTTTCAAGGTTGTGAACACTCAAAAGACATCTGGTCCCAATGGGTGCTTTCAGCTCCCTCTCCCACACAGTGATCTCCTGGTCTCCCTATTTTCCTTGTCAGGCACCTTCTCTCCTTAGCACTGTGTGTCTAAGATTGGCAGAATCATTTCTGGGCAAGTAGTTCAATGACACTAGCATGTATGAGCTTCCAGAACTTAAACACTTCTTCACTATCTTGTACCCCTACCCATGGGCCTTCCAGCAGCACAGCAGCACATTCTGTAAACACCGAGACTTACCCAAAAGAGACACACAGGGATGACTCATCTCGTGTTAGAACAGTTCCAAGAGATTAGTCCGGTAGGGAAGGTGTCACCTGTTGGATTGAAATAATTGAATAGAAGCTGGATCATATGCTTATCTTCCAGGAACCTGTCCTTTTGGTAATAAGTGCTCAAAGGTGGGACAAGCTGTGTAACTAAACTGGCACTGCCAAGGTCTGGACATGCCTCAGTGAGTCCAGGGTACAAGTATTACTGAGTGAGCCCTGGGGCTACAGGTGCTCCTGACCTTTATGTTCCCAAATGAACCTGGTAGGGCCCAGAGGTAGGCAAGAGGCTGACAGACCAATCTTATACTGTGAAATCTGGCTGTTACTTCAAAAGCACAGAATCCTAAAAGTCCAAAAGCAATGACTGTCTTACCAGGAATTCTGTTTCTCTTGGGATATTTGTGCCCGTGTTATCTTTTTCTGTATGTGTGGGTGGGAAGGCATCTGTTTTATGTCTCATTTTGCCTGGGTACCTGTCTATCTGTTTAAGTTTCCCACTTTATTCCATTCTATAAAAAGCCAGAAGGTAGACCAGAAGGGGATTTTGTAATGTTTGTTGTGTTTAACTAAGGAAAGGTTTATGTTCCCATTTCTCTAAGAATATGGACTGACATCTTTCTACAAAACAAAATAAATTATAAGTATAGAATTACTGAGGTTACAGTGTCTAGCTATAAAATATTCCAAAGCGCCCCAGGTCCTCCAAAGAACCCAGACAGTTTTGGAAGGGCTAGATCACTGTGCTAGAAACCCGACTTATATTTCCCTGAAAATTCTACTGATAGAGCAGTAGGTCTGGGTGGGTGTTACGGAATTGGCATCTTTCAATATGTAGACATTAGGCCTGTCTAGAATTTGGACAGGTTTCCCATCCAGGAGTTTCCTTCTGAGGCTGTGCTGGTGATCAGACTTTGAGCAAGAGAACTCACACATTTTAGCAGATTTTCTAAGGGGTCTATCATTGACAGAAGGCTAGAAATCACTGACCCATGATATTCTGAATACAGATCCAGAGCCACTTTGGGGCAATGGACCAGACTGTGTCAGGCACTGTGAATGTTGTTTCTATAACAAGATCCAATGGGAGAATGGATAAGCAAGTGGTCCTACCTAGGAGAAGTGCTATTCAACTGGTCCCACCCGAAAATTTCTCCTAAAGGAAAATGTAGGGTAGGGGCTGAGGTTTAAGAGGAAATGTTCCACTGGCAAAGGAGACTGGAGGGGACTGCCTGCCTCTGAGTCCAAGGCTGGCTAGAGGGTGTGAGCTGGCACAGGATGTGAGCCCTCTGGGACTTGGGCCAGAAATGGGGGGGGGGCTGAAAAGGACCATGGGCTTTGGGCAGCAGACAAGAGGGAGTATGCATGTGTGTAAAAAGACATGTAATTAATCACCCAAATATAGACTGGAGGAACCAGCAAAGGAGTTTAGGAGAAGGGGGTAATGGAGTGGTGCCAGAAAATGTGGCTCTCAGCAAGGACTCCCTTCTACACTCCCCAGCTCTCTGTCTTAGGCAACATATCTGCTCCCATTATCTTCATGCAACCCCCATTCAAACACAAAGGTAGATCTCCCTAAGCCAGAACCTTCTTCAGGACCCCAGAGGTGCAACCCCTCCCCCACACTGGAAAAAAAGTCTTTTCAGCCATCCCCCACTAAGCCAATCCCTGCAGCCTCCAGGTCGCTGGTTCTCTGTGTGTGGGTCCACCCCCAGCTCCTGACTGCTTCCCAATCCTGAGAATTCTCAAAAGAGTAGCACAGGCCTCAATACATCCACAATTCCCGCCTTTGACTGCCGCCAAAACCCTGCACGAGAAGGCCTCAGGGCCTCTCCATGCCCACCCACCACTAGAGACCTGTTCCCTTCGGTCCCTGGCTTGTCCCAAGGCCGAGCAGTTACCCACTCCCCGCATATCCTCCTCCGGTCCAAGTACTCACTCGGGCCCCAAGAACATCCTCCCGCTGCCCCGCAAGCTCTCTTGGGCCGCACATTGTTTGCTTCACACTTCTCTCAAGATCTCTCCACATGCACGCCCCTCCCGCAGTCTGCAAGCTCACCCGGTCCGCAGTGCAGGACTCTGGGCCCTCGCAGAAGGAGAGCTGGCGAGGTTCAAGCAGGCCTGGCGTGGCAGGAAGCGCCACGGGGCCGCCATCACCTGGCAGAGCCCTGCAGTCAGGCAGAGGGCTTCCGGAGCTGGGGGCACCGCCAGGGGTACTGAGAGTGAAATCCTGCCCCGGTCTCGGTCTCGGTCTTGCCCGGCCTGTAGGCTACGATTGGCCTGAAAGAGGGGTGGGATGGATGGAGGCGTGTCTGGGGCGGGGTGAGGAGAGGAGGTGGGGTAGGTGAGACTAGGGGGAAAATGCATGGATCCTGGATGATGAGAGAATAAGCATGGAAAGAACGTAAAAACGAACGACAAATGAATAAACCAGCAAAATACATTGATTAATGGTGGAGACTTTCAGAATGATGGTAGACCTGGGGGAAGACACTCAAGAAAAGAGTGCAGGGGTTGGAATCCCTCATAAAGTCTTGTGAATGCCTTCATTGTTCCAGACACCGAGAATACAACCATAAACAAAACTAGACCCTTATGCCTACTCTATGAGTCACACACCAGAGCTCCTTTTAGAGTACCGTATGTGTATTAGGAAGTATAGACCAAAAAATAAATAGCAACCGGAATTTAAGAATAATGGGTTATGCCATGAATCCCAAAACAAGTGTCTTGGTTTAGAGGTTCTGCAAGCAGTTGCCAGTTCAAGGTAAATTTTTTGGTCAACTTCATTGCTCTGCTTTGTGCATCCTTGCCGATACAAGTAACTGCTTTCTTAAAGTGTTTTCCCAAGTAAGCCACTAACAAAGATCAATATAAAGCCCCTCAGAAGAATGATGAGAATTTCATCCAACACCCATCCAGGTGATGTTTGGGATGATCAGAAGGAAAGTGTGTGCGTGCTTCTGTGAAACTGCAGCATTTGCTGACAAACACAACATCAAAGCTAAATATCTTGCCTTCCAGACCTGTGCAGGAGCTAAAGCAGAAGCCGTGGAAAAGTGGTGCTTTATGACTCACTCAACTTGCTTTTTAAATACAATCCAGGACCACCTGCCGAGTGTGGCACCTCTCACAGTGGGCCTTCACATCAAACACTGATTAATAAAATTCCCCCACAGAATTGCCTAAGGGTCATTTTAATGATGGCATTTTGGAATTTAGGTTCCTTCTTCCAAGATTACTCTAGCTTGTTTCAAGTTGATATAAAATTAACCAGCATAGGTGGCGATGAGCATGAGACCAGTCTGAGAGCAACATTAATGGCACAAAACTCAGTTCAGAGGACTGAAAGGGTCATTGAGAAGACTGTTTTGAGATTGGTCAAAACAGAGATTCAGCCAGCCTGAAAGTGAGGAAACAAACATGTCTCCAGTGCCAGAATCAGCATGCAGGCAAAGAGACCTGGGGTGCAAAGAGCAAAGAGAGAGCATGTCAGTGAGGCAGAAGGCTGGAAATACACAGGCAGGCAAGAGTGAAGGGTTTTGTACAGCAGGTGGAGGGTCTGTCTTTAAATAAGCTGATATTCAGTGGAAAAATACACTATAGTGGTCTGCATCTGAAAAAAGGTTGCCAGCTCCAGCTGTTGCTAAGGGAACCACTGCAATCATAAGCTGAGAGCAGCTAGGAAGCAATTTAGAAGGGGTAAGTTTTTGAGAACAAAGCAGAGAATAACCCTCTGCTGGATGGAATACATAGTCTCCAGACACAGACTTTCCAGAGACACAGCATGGCCTGATGTTACAGCCATGCCTGTGAAACTGTGTGGCAAAGGGGATCTGGCAGATGTAATGAAGGTTACCAGCTATCCTTCAACTATGGAGATTATCTTGGGTTGCCTGTCAGTAAGTAGGTGGGGGAAAAAGAGGACATCATAGTAGGTGAAGATTCAGCTTCACAATTGCTGACTGACAATGGGAAGAGGCCCATGGAAGGGCTGAATGGCCACTACCAAGCAACCTGGATGAACTGAGTATTCAGACACTGACTGAATCTGTAAGCAGATTCTCTGCAAATCCTTCATATCAGCAACACCCTAAGGGTAGCTTTGTGAGCCCAGAACTCAAGGAACCTATTTAAGCCAGCTGGTATGTTAAGCTTCAAATTCTATAGTGATTAGCTATTCCAGGATGGATTAGGAAGGTGACATGATGTTCTCTTTTAAGTGAGGCCTTTTCCATTGCATGTGGTTTTTCTCATTACTGCCAAGGCCATGAGGTGTAGGATCCAGATGGGTTCCTTGCAGAACTCTCTAGCATAGCTGTAACAATGCAATTCCAGCAGGGTTTACTGCCTTGCTTTGCCTTTCATTACATATTTTTGCTCTCTAAATTTACAAACCAAACTCATTTTTCCCTAGCAACATTTCTTGTCAGTGCAATATAGTTATAGAAGTTAAAGTGTTGGTAACCCCCCTTTCTTTCTCTTCCCAAACCTCTGACACAAACATGTTTGATTGCTTCTAAAATTTTCAGGCCTAGATTATTCTCCTTACCCATGTCCTGTGAACAGAGATATGTTCAAAGAACATGAAGTTCTTGCTCAGCACAGCACACTTTATTCAGCCATCCTCAAGCTGACCAAAATGCTTCAGGGCATGACCTGGGTCTCTGAACACTCTCATGCATCTACTGGAAAAATACAGCAAGCATGTGTAAAGTTTCCTTTGGAAATCTCTCTTGGTTCTTCATTACCATGGATGGAAGTGTGAAATTAGTTTCCTCAATTGAAGCCCATAATCCTCTCCCTCTTCTTTTTCCTTTATAAGTTCTTTAACTTTATTATTAATTGAGTTGGATTTTACCTAAAAGTATTTTAGAATATCAACCCTGAGCACCTCAGAGTATAAAGTTTACAGATCCTGGCTTAACATGGTTATTGAGTTGCTTTGAAGTCATTAAAGTGGTTCTGAATTCAATATGACTGGTGTCCTAGTAAGGAGAGGAAAACTTGGAAGTGTTTGAGAGAGAGAGGGGAAGGGGGAGAACCAAGTAAAGAAGTAAAGATCATAGTTACATTGCCATAAGCAATATGCCACCAGAATGGGGTTAAGGCCCGGGATATATCCTTTCAGAAGAGCCCCCAGAGGAAAAATTTCTCTATCAACACCAATTTGGAGCATCAAATTAAGCAGCATTAACTTACCAGTTCTCAAAACCAATACATCTAAAGACTTTTGGTCTTACAATCCCTTTGCATTCTTGTTTTGTTGATGCTAAATTGAGACAGGATTTCACTATGTAGCCCTAGCTGTCCTGGAACTCTCTATGTAAACCAGGTTGGCCTTGAACACACAGAGATATGCCTGTCTCTACCTCCCGAGTGCTGGAATTAAAGCCATGCACCACTATGTCAAATCTAAAAGTGTAGCCCAGGATAGCCTCAAACTCCTGAACTCCCTGCCTCTATCCCTTCAGAATATCCTACTGGTGTGTGCCACCACTACCAGCCCCTTTAGAAATCTTAGAGATTATTGAGAGCCATGAAAAATTCTTCTTTATATTGTATATGTATGCATGTGTGTGTTATAACACAGTACAAAATTTACTGCATTGAAGTAAAAAACAAGAAATTTAAAAATATTATTTAAAGATGGCAATAAAATATGTTAACAATAATATGAAGAAACTATATAAAATGAACTTTAATAAGAATCCTTTTCAATTTTTGCATGGATATACATGTTTGGTGTGTGTGTGTGTGTGTGCATGTTCACAATTGTATGAACATGTGTGTAGAAGGTACCTGTGGAAACCTAAGTTTGGCATTTGTAGTCTTCATTGATCTCTCTTCATTCACTAAAGAAATTCTCTCAACTGAACCCAGAGCAACCCTTTTACATTATTGTTATTCCTTTCAATGTCTGAGAAGATAGTTGGATTTTCATTGCCATTTCTGACTTCAGACTACCATGATACCACACTTGGATAACCTCCAAGAATTAAAAGAGAAAGCAAAAGGCAAACTATCTTAGCCTCACTGTGAAGAGATAATTGGTTTTCTGAACCCTCCCTCAACAGGACACAAGAACTGCTCAGAGGTCTTCAGAATCCCTTGAGAACTGCAGTGTTATTCCATTCTTCTTAGGTTTTGTGTATATTGAACTGTTCCCAGTGTTGAGATTAAGTGAGTGGTGAACCTTGGCAGATTCCATGGTAGATGAGGGTGACTGAGGGGGTGCGGATAAAACATGTCAGGCAGACAGAGCTTAAGTGAGAAGTTTTATAAGAAAGGGGAAGGAGGGGGAAGGAAAGAGAACAGAGGCAAAGAGGCGCAGAGACAGAGAGAGAGGACAGGAGAAGAGGGAGACAGGAAAAGTCCTGTCTGCCCCAGGGGACCAGCAGGAAAGAGATCATATGAGTGGGCAGGGGTCTGTCTTTTCAAGGGGCCCTTTGCCCCTGTGTGTAGACTAGTGGCCATGGAACCCTGGGATGACCAGGGTACTGCCTGAGTGTGTTCTGCCAGGTGACAGGGGCAGGCCAGCATAATGCCTGAATCCTTACACCCAGTAACTGTTACTAGTAGCTGTGCATTTTGCAATTGTGGATACTCATTGCCCTATATGTCCTATATAATGCTGCTGATTTGTGAACAGTAGGCAGGAGCATGGGTGAGACAACATAATACCGAAGGCTCAGAGTTAAACAGTAATCAGTCCAAGGGTATGGGGGAGTACAGCATTTATTAAACATTTCTACAAGCTTCTATTTGTTTCTGGGGATAAAACAATAAATAGGACAAGGTTACTTCCCATGGAAAAGTAAGAATTCAGTACAGAGAGTAGATAAACACAAGACTAAGTATTTACAAAAAATGGAGATCATTGTCACTATAGTAGCAACAGAATGTCAAGGTTGCCAGAGAGGATAGACCTTGGGGAGGATATCTTGTGTGAGAATGTGTGGAGGGTGTCCCTAGGGTGGCTAGGGAAAAGGGCATTCCAGATAGGGAAAAATGGATATCCTAAAATACACAGGCCGTGCTGGGTCAGTGTTGATGGTATAACTGAAGAGGAGTTATAGAGGTGGGAACAGCAGCCTCAAGATTGCCCTTAAACTCAAATGTAGAGTCTCTCCTAGTTGTTCTGGTATGCAGGAAGGTTTTAGAGCTACTGCAGCCCAACAAGAGTGCCCAACCTCCATACCCCATAGCACAAATAATAAACACCCAAAGACAGATATTGGGGTTAAAGCTGAAGATCAGAGAAGCAAAGCAGCCATCCAGTCAGTAGATCTTACTTCTACCTCAGACTAAAAGGGCTGATCCTGTTTCTATGAATCCTCAGATTGAGTTCCACTGCATCTGTCTCC